AACAGATTGGAGGAGCACCAAGAATGAAGGCAGAATCTAGCTGGGAAGCTACTGTCATAGTCTAGGTGAGAGATTGATGGTGGCTTGGGCACAGTGATAAGTGATAATGGTGGAGAAAAAGATGGAATCAAGAGATGTTTAGCAGGTAAGATCCATGGGGCAAGATTATGAGTTGGCTGTAGCAGATGAAAGAAAATGAAGAAGACAGAGGGAGAGAGTTTTGACTTGCACATTGTAATGTATGATGATGTCATTCACTGAGGGGATACTGAAAGAGGACCCAGTTTGGAGAGAGTTCAGATTGGGGCATATTGAGTTGAGGTGTTAATGAGATATATATGCAAGAGATGATGTCAAGTGAGCAATTGGTTATATAAGTGTGGAGTTTGGAATAGAGATCTGGTGTAGAAATATAACTTTGAGATTCATCTGTGCATTGGTGTAAGTTGGAATCCAAGGTATAAAGAAACCATAGAGTGAGAAGAAAAGAGGTGCTGGGACCGATCCCTGGGGAACCCTGATATTTAATGGCCGGTAAAATAAGGTATGTCTGCAAAGGTGATAGCCAGAAGGAGTAGCCAGAGAAGTAGGAGAAAAACCAAGAGTGCATTATGTCTTGGAAGTCAATTAAAAGAGTATTTTAAGAGGGAGGGAGTGGTCAACGTTATCAAAAGCTGTTGAAAGGTCAAGTAAGATGAGGACTGACAAAGTATTCATAGTATTTGTCTACATGGAGGCCACCGGTGGCCTTAGTGAGTGCTGTTCGGTTGAATGATGATGGCAGAAGCCAGCTTACTATGGGTGAAAGAATGGGTCAGGGGAGCATGGAGATAGCCAGTATAGCTAAACTTTTTAAAGATGTTTATTATTAGTTTTATTTTATTTTATGGCTGCACTGCATGGCATGCAGAATCTTAGTTCTTCAGTGACAGTGAAGTTGCTTAGTCGTGTCCGACTCTTTGCGATCCCATGAACTGTAGCCTACCAAGCTCCTCCATCCATGGAATTTTCCAGGCAAGAGTACTGGAATGGGTTGCCATTTCCTTCTCCAGGGGGTCTTCCTGACCTGGGATTGAACCCAGGTCTCCTGCATTGCAAGCAGACGCTTTACCATCTGAGCTCAACCAGGGATCAAACTTAAGCCCTCTACAATGAAAACATGGAGTCTTTACCACTGGACCACCAGGGATGTCTGATAAACTTTCTTTTAAAAAAAGTCTGGGTGTGATGGGGGAAAGAGTGAGAGGACAGTACCTCTAGAAGGATATAGGGGTTTTGTTTTCTTTTTCAAGAGAGTGGAACATGTTTAAAATTAGGAGGGGAAGTCAGCACAGCCACGTTTCTGTCTGATGACTTTTATTGTTTTTTCTATGAAGTAAGAGGCAAGTTTACTTGATAAACATGTGAGGGTAAAGTCTGAGAATGGGGAAGACTATCAATAGTTATTGCAGAGTAGGAGCATAAAGTGACCAGAGAAATGTACTAGGCTGGATGCACAGTGGGAAAGGCTTGTTTGAGGCTGGTGACCATGCATTTATGAAATATTCATTCATCCTCCTATATGGCTATGTCCAGCAGTGCTTGTCTGCTCAAGTGCAGGTAGGGTGGATGGCTGGGTTGGTGGGAGTGAGGTGGGGAGTAAGACTCTATCAGTGTTTTAAAAAGTCTCCCTGCCCTCAGTATCTTCCCATTCCTACCCATCCTGTACACTGCCATAGAATTCATTTTCCTTAAAGACTAAGTTCTAAGTGTTAGTCGCTCAGTCGTGTCCAACTCTTTGCGACCCCATGGACTGTAGCCCACCAGGCTCCTCTGTCCATGGGATTGTCCAGGCCAGAATACTGGAGTGAGTTGCCATTCCCTTCTCCAGGGGATCTTCCTGACCCAGGGATTGAATCCAGGTCTCCTGCATTACAGGCAGCTTCTTTACCATCTGAGTCATCTTTTAAAATTTACTTTTTATCAACTCAATCTCCTTGTTCAAGAATTTACATCTTTGCAAATGGTATGGTGATTAAGACCATAGGTGATAGACCTCCAAGTGTGAACTTGAGCAACTCATGTAAAGATTCTGCCACTCAGCTTCTTCAACTCTAAAATGTGGTTAATTGTGATATCTACCTTATAAGGTTGTTAGGTGCATTAAATAAGAGAGCAAGTAGCACAGTGCTTGGCTTGTAGTAAGTAAAGCTGCTATCTTACCTTCTCTTATCTGTCTGCCTATCCATCCTAGTCTGACATTCTTTTGCACCCCTATCCAGCATACTCCCTTCCAGTTAGACTGATCCTTTCAGTGCCTCTGTATTCATTGCTGTGTGAGTTTGCTTTCACTATCCAAACCCTATCATTTCTCAAAAGGCCCACATCTTCTAAAAAGAAGCTTCCTCATTCCTCAGAGCTAGTGCACTGATTGTCCTTTGTGTTGGGTTGGCCAGAAAGTTCACCTGGGTTTTCCTGTAACATCTTATGGAAAAATCCAAACCAACTTTTTGGCCAACTCATTACTTTAGAGATGTGAAACCTGAGTATATTCCATTGCTCACTTTATTATCAACTGTATTATTTCATTGTGTTTTTACTGTTTTGTTTTTAAAATATTATGTTACATTTTGTCTAAAAATATTTCAGTAATATAAGATTTTCCAATAAAATGTGAGCTCTCTGAGGGAGAAAGTCATGTCATAAACTCTATACATTTCTCACAGAATCTACAATAGTATTTACAATACTTGTTCAATCTAATTTACTTGAATTGAGACATAAGATAGCCTCCAGTGGTCTTCAAAGTGGGGTGCACAATTCTAGGGAGTATACAGATAATACATTAGAGTACAGGAAGAAAATATTGTGAAGTTTCTATTTATTTTATCATTCTTTTGACATATTTTGACTATGTTTGTAATGTACATATTGTAAATTTATTATATATGTATATATATACATATTATTTGTAAATATACATACATAAATGACATATGTTCAAGAAATTTTAATCTTGGTGTCCCAGATCAAAACATTTTTAATCTACAGTATTGAGATGAATATAAGCATTTGACAACAGTTAATCATTTTTGAGCACTTACTGTGCCCCAGGTGCTATGCTAAGAGTTTTTACATGCATTAACTCAATTCTCAAAACAATTTAAAAAAATCTTTATTTATTTGGCTGTGTTGGGTCTTAGTTGTAGCATGCTCAGTCTTTGTTGCAGCATGTGGGATCTTGTTCCCTGACCAGGGATCGAACCCAGGCCCCCTGAATTGGGAAATCTGAGTCTTTTTTTTTTCTTTTAAAAAGATTTTATTAAAGGTCTTTGCAGAGCAACATTCAGATTCCAGATCCAGCGGCCAAGGAGACCTATTATGCTGTGGTTACCGGCTGGGGCATGGCAGGTGGCTCTGGCTTCCCACCCTTCTGTTCAGAGATGGGGGTGGTGGGCAGTATTTCATCTTTGGGTTCCACAATGCTCACGTGATCAGGCAGAGGCTTCTTAGGGCCAGTCTTACCAGTTGGGTCCCAAGGCTACATGATCTTTACCTTGATGCCCAGCACACCCTGTCTGAGCAGCACATGGCGCACGGCAGTGTCAACATAGTAGTTAACAGGGTCCCCACTGTGGATCATGAGGCCATCCACAAACTTCATGGATTTAGCCCTCTGTCCTCGAAGTTTCCCAGACACCACGACCTCGCAGCCTTTGGTCCCACTCTCCATGATGAACCGCAGCACACCATAGCAGGCCCTCCGCACAGCAAGGCCTCCTAGGAGCTTGTAACGCAGAGATTCTGCCTGGGCAATGGCACACAGTCCTCTTGTGGCTACCTTTTCAGCGTAAAGCTCTACACTGCCTTCAGGGAAGCCAAATCTCTTCTGAACCAAAGCAATCAACTCCCGGATCCGCCGGCCCTTCTCACCAAGTACATTCTGTGTCCTGGTGGCCAAGATAATGATTTCTGTCCTGGTTGGTGTAACTCGGACCTTAACTCCAGAGTACCCATCTTCAGCCAGCTCCCGAGTGAGAAACTCGTTCAGTTCAGCTTTGAAGATGCCATCAGCGACAAACTTCCTCTTCTTGGAAATTTGCACAGCCATCTTGCCACCGCGAGCCACCGAAAGGAAAGGGGAACTCTGAGTCTTATCCACTGGACCACCAGGGAAATCTCCTCAAAACAATTTTTCAAGGTCAGTGTTATTATCTCTTATTAGAAAGGAGGAAAGTGAAGCACAGAAAGGTAAACTAACTAGTCCAAGATTACATAATGAATAAGTGAAGGAACCATGATTTAAAAATACATCTATTTGAATCCAAAGCCGGTCCTCTTTTTTGGAAGACTTAAAGACATAATCCAACTTCAGTAATAGATACAGGACTATTCAAAGTTATCTATTTCTTCTTAAGTGAGTTTTGATAACTTGTGTCTTTCAAGAGATTGATTCATTTCCAAAGGTAATCCTCTTAATCAGTGTGCTACCATGCATCCCTCTGTTAGGAATGCCTGTTTGTTTGTTTGTTTGTTTTAATGAAGATAGCGTGGAATGGATGTCCTTCTACTTGCTACTTAACCAGGGCATTATGAGAACCATATATAGATTTTTGGAAAGTAGAAAGTCATCTTAAGAAAAACCAGGTATATTTGACCCTTGAACAAGGGAAAATGAGGAACGTCAACCCTCCAGAGCAGTGAAAATTCCATTACAACTTATAATTGGCCTTCTGTATCTGTTGTTTTTCCGTATCTGCTGTTCCACACATGAGGATTCAACCAACCGCAGATTGTTAATTACTGTAGTTTGTACTATTGGAAAAAAAGATCCGTGTGTAAGTGGACCCACACAGCTCAACCCCTGCTATTAATGGTCAATTGTAACCACATGGTTTGATTTATATCTGATACTCATTTCCTCTTAAGAACATGAAAAGCCATTATAAAGCTCTTTCTTAAAGAATCCTTTCTGACTTCTAAAGTGAATCCAAACTAACATATGCTTTGTAATTTTTCAGTTCTTTCTGAAAATATAATAATTCAAGAAACAAGTACCACTGTTTCACAACAAATAGACTTGACAACTCCATCCCAAGTTACTGGACTAAAACCGCAAAAGACTGCATATTCTTCTACAGTGGTGTCTAAAAGCATGCCTTTATTTGCAACTGATTATACAACTCGACTGTATTCCAATACAACATCTCCACCACTGAAAACAATGATTGCACCAATTTTTTAAAAGACTTCCATAGCTGAGACAGCTACATTCGCAGCAGACCTTTTGTCTAAATCAGCAGCCATTGCTCTGTCTACCAAGAGTACCTCCGTAGGCCCTACTACCAGTTCCATGAAAGTAACTAAATCCCCATCTTCAGATAGCACAAGGACAACCAAAATGGCTGAATCCATTGCTACTGAGACTTCTCATCCAGTGGTAGCTACTAATTTCCTGTACACATCTAGATTTACCAACAATTCAATTGTATTCAAACCTTCAGTAACTGGATCTCAGTCAGCTGTTATGAGGACAGCATCTTTATTCTCACCTGTTGAGTCAACATCCATGTCTACAACATTTTGGCCCAAACACAAATCCACAGGTATTGGGGCACTCCCTATTGCCACAGCTAGCCAGGAGTTTCCTGCATCTACAGCTGCTGGAAGTGTATGTCAGTCCACAGTGGATCTGACTTCAACTACAGCTACTCCCATTGGGACTGCGTCAACACTGCCACCTGAGTCTGTGCTTATCTCCACAGCTGTTTCAATGAATTCTGTATTTCCTAGAAATCAGACAGCCCAGGGACAGGGGAGCCTGGTAGGCTGCCATATATGGGATCACACAGAGTCGGACATGACTGAAGTGACTTAGCAACAGCAGCAGCAGACAGCATCCACATTGGCCACAAATGATGTGGAAATACCTAGTTTATTCAACTAGGTCTATTGAGATGACACCTGTGCTAAGAACAGTTGAAACAGAATCACCATCTACAAATTTCCAGGCTGACTCTTCATCCACAATGGAAGACGCAATATCTACCTTCATACCAAAAGAGGCCTCTTTTGTGGCACTTTCTTTCAGGACATCCTCTCCATTCACCAGAGCTCAGAGTGTACAAACTGTTATTGATGTTGAGATGACACATACAGCTTTGACTCCTGGGAAAACACTTGCACCTACAGTGGCAGAAACTCTATTTTCCTCCACAATCACTGGGCCAGTACATGCATAGAATATACCCACAGGTGGTGAAAACATGCTTCCTCTGATTTCTCCTAGATCAGCTTCCACATCCAAGGAATCTGAGTCTGGTCCCATATCAACAAGTGATGAAGGTGACCATCTATTCTCCACAAATGAGATCACTTGGACTTCCAGGCCAGATCAGACCTTGTTGATATCAGTGTTAAATGGGAGTACTTCTAATACAGAGCATTCATCCACAACTACTAATATTATCATCCAACCAGAAGCATCCACAGAGAGCAAGGCCACCACTATTGCTAATACTACTACAGACAGATATACAACAGTTCTATCCAAAGTGACATCTCCATGGCTCACTAATTTCTCCATGGTTTCTGGACTCACATCTGTAACGAAACTGCCTGAGTCTAAATTTAGCACCTTACTACTAAAAACCACCCCTGCATCCACAGTACTTGGAAATGAACTTCTTTCAACACCAAGGGAGACAGTTGTTCCACTTTTAGATAGAATATCTACCCTTGCTGATGTGGAACCAATTTTTCTACTGAGGAGAGTGCTTCTGAGAACACACAAACACAGACAAATGGTATAATTGCATTTGGAGAGACAACAGTCCCTGTTCCAGACTCTGCAATGACACAAAGATTCACTGCTACTGTGACAAGGAAAGAAACAACTTCCCATTATCTTGAGGGAAAATCGGCTCTAGCAGTGACAACCAAGGTTTCTCCATTTGCAACAATGCTGGAAGCAACAGATGAGTCTATTTACCCCTTTCTTGATGCAGAGAAGCTGACTACCCAATTGGATAATACAACAACTGCTGAGGTGAAAGAAAGTTGGTTTTCTACAAAATCAATGAAAACGACACCTAAGAGTTCATACAACGAAACTATGGATATCTTTAATTCCACCCACATCTACATAGCACCTTGGACTTCAGAAACTCCACCTGAGGGGAATCCAGCTCCATCTCCCACTTCTGGGAGCACACAGACTCCATCTACCTCAACCTCAAGTAACACAGTAGAGGGCCATGTTTCAGAAATGTCTACTGGTCTTGGGAAAACAGCTCTCCCTTCACGAGCTCTGACAATTACCACACTTTTGTCTCCTGAGACAGAGAGCATGAGTGCCCTCTCAGTATATACTCCCAGGACTGAGAAAAAGATAGTAAGCACCACCTCTGTGACTCACCCTTTCGCACACCGCCAGGACACTTCCTTTGTAGATACTGTAACTTCCGGGACAACCAGGATATCAAATCCTATAAACAATAACACAGATTTTTTACACTTGCTTTCACTTACCTAGGACTCAGCCCGAGGTGTCTTCAGTTGCCCCTCTCATTTCTGAAAGCACACAGACTTCCCCTGAGTCCCCATCTCTTTCCATAGCTCGACAGTATCTAGTGCCAATTTTATAGCTGTGTCTACTAACAGGATCACTACAGCCCTTTCTGCTTCAAATGTATCTATAGCACTTCTTGGGAAAACTTCTATGATAACGTCCATTCCTACCTACTAGATGTCCTCATGGCCAGTTAGAGTCACTCCCCTCACCTCTAAAAGTGTTTTGGGCACTCCCACTGTACTAATGACTGGATTTTCTAAAATGGACATTCAGATTGTTTGAAAAGCACCTCTGTAGCCACTTCTGGGCTGGGGTCTGAGATGTCCTCAATGTCAGTTAGTGTCTCTGCTTTTCCACCTCTTACTGTTTCTTCTGATGCTTCCATAACAGGTGGGTCATTCTATACTTTGTCTTCAGTTACCCCCAGGCCTTCTATGACCATGCGAACATTGTCATTAGATGTCACACCTTTGACATATGCTGGGTCTGCTTCAAAAAGCACAGTGACTTCCGTTGGTTTCACTACTTCAGAAATAACTAAAGTCTCCTTCACTGTGCTCAGGGCTGGTGCCCTGGGAAGACCCAGAGGGATGGGATGGGGAGGGAGGCGAGAGTGGGGATCGGGATGGGGAACACATGTAAATCCATGGCTGATTCATGTCAATGTATGGCAAAAACCACTACAGTGGTGTAAAGTAATTAGCCTCCAACTAATAAAAATAAATGAAAAAAATTTATTTCACATGTTAAAAAAAAGAAAAGAAATAACTAAAGTGTCATCCAGCATCATACCTACATCCTTTTCCTCCCCAGCAGAGCCAACTTTTCCCTCTGGGAAAACCATTCCAACCACTACCATGGCTGGGACCGTGACTCCATTCATAGGCATCCCTGTCTCTCCCCTACTCATTTCTAAGAACTGAAGCCATTTCTTCCATTCCAAAGACCACATTTTCATCATTTCTATCAACAGCCCAACAATCATCACAAAGATATCAGGCCACCACTCTGGGCATATTCCCTGGGATTACTAAGAGCTCTCTTTCAACTGTAAGCAGTGGTAAAGTAATAGCTCTCACAAATACTTACTCCAGAACTGCTGCCCTTGAAAGTGTGCTTTCACCTACTCTGGAAAATCTCCATGCTTCCTTGAACATTCAAATTTCCCCAGCTTTGACTGGCTTTAAGAGCACTCCTGGATCCACAAAAAGTGTAAAAACTACCATTTATCATTCTTCAAATACAGAAAAGACTTCCTCATCAGAAAATACTTCAACAGCTGAACTGACAAAGGTTCCATGTCTGTGAATACACCTGTTTCATACCCTCCCTGGATTCCATCCGGGTCAACTTCACCCTCTTTGACATCAGTTCTTGTTTCACCTCAAAGTACTGAAACCAAGTTCTCTACTCTAAAGACTTCTCTTCCTCCTATGTCCCAAATGGTTGAATTTCCAGTTCTGCAAACAAGAACCAAATCTAGTAACACCCAGTCTCTGCTTTTTACTTCCTGGAACACAGCCACAACTGAAGATTCTAAATTTTCAGCTTCTACCACTGCTTATGTACCTACATCCAACAAGAAGCAAACAGAGAGTCCTTACGTTAGTACAGAGTCTTTGTCAACATTCCCAGTCTCTCAGACTGGTCTTGTACCTGGAGATGTAATGGCAATGTCATCAATTTCCACAACAGGAACTCTTCCTACCTTGGGGGTGTCTGAGAGCCCTTCATTATCAATATCTTCAAAATCTATCCCTGTTACTTTGGCTGACATTAAGCACACATTTGAGAAGACAACCACATCTGTAACTCCTGGGACCACACTCCCATCAAATATTTCTGATGCTGCTTCAGAATCTATCATTTCAAAGGCTTGTACTTCACCCATGCTGACTTGGATCTTATCTAGTCTTCCTTCAGGTTCACCTCTGGCAACCAGATCCAATACTCACATTATATCTTCCTCTCCAAAAGAGGTATTAAAATCCACATTTCTGACTTCTGACATAACACCAACACACCCACTCACTAACTTTACAATAGGCCCCTTTGCTGGTGTAAGTGCTGTGCTCATCGAAACCACCCCTACACCTACAGTGGGCGGTATCACTATGGGCTTCCCAAGTCCTTTCCCTGTGTCTATAAAAATCACAGATGACAGTACCTACATTTCCAAATCTTCTGAAGCATTTTCCAGAATCACTGTGACTGCCAACTCCAGGACTGTGCCTCAAGCTCCATCCTTTAGCAGAATGAGTAAATCACCTCCAGTTGACCATACCCCATCTGTTGGTGCCACGTTTCTACCTAGCCCTACAACAACATCTGCATGGAGCAGAATCCCAGCTGCATCAGCACCCACTACCTTAGTTCTTCCTAAGCCCACACAGGAGTCCCTTCTAAATATAGCCGCCACTACATCCACTGCTACTGGAGCCCCATTTCCACTCATCTCCACTGGAGTAACACATCCTTTTACAGCAAATGTGTCCTCATTACCTTCTTCCTCTCTTGAGACAGGCTGGCTGGACTCCACACCTTCCTTTTTATCTACCAAAACTTCGACTTTACCTATTGCCGTTAAGTCCAAAGGTATGTTCTGCAATGTATGTGGCATAATAGAATGTATGCACAATGGGATATGTGTTCTTAAAGAGAGCCAATTCTCTGAAGGCAGAAAGGGCAAGAGAAGGGTACAGGTATTTCTTCTCTGCTTCAGACAGTATCTATAGTGGGTACCTTATTCCAAGCACAATTCTCTTGCCATCTTTCTTACCTTTCCTTTATTGATATATAATGCAAATGTATGACATTTCTAAGCCTCCTTCCCATCCATTTTGTTCCTAATGCCGGTGTGGACATGGGTCAGAAACTTTACCCCCTTCCTATAAGAGGATTATATGGCCTTAGGTCCAACATGTTGATCACATACCAGAAAACACCAGAAGATACTCTAGCTTGCTCTTTTTGAATTCCGTTAATGCAGGTTTCAATCTTCTCCAGTTCCCACCTCCAGCTGGCTTCTAATGCTTATCTGTGGCCAGGGAGTATTTGGCTTCCAAATAATTCAAATACTGGATGTTCCTTCAACTTTTATATATAGATATAGACATATACAAAGATTTTTTTTTGGCCACACCTAATGGCATACAGAATTTCCCCAACCAGGAATCAAACCCATGCCCCCTGTAATGGAAACATGGAGCTTTAACCACTGGACCACCAGGGAAATACACCTTCCCAACTTTAATATTCTAAAATAGAAAATTATTTAAATTGAATTTGATAGTACAGACAAGAGAAACAAGGGAATAAAGAGAAAAGCCTGAAGCACAAAGAAGGGCATAGGAAGAAATAAGCATTTTCTCAGTACAAATGAACCTGTGAGATAATGTTCAGCTTGGCCTTTTAGTGGACTAGAAATTTGTTAGCCAATGAAAACTAGGATTCGGGGGGAGTTGTAGAATATCTGTCAATTGTGCAGAAATCAAGGAACAGCCCAAAAAATTAAAGCAAAACTGCCAGGGTACATCCTGGTTTGCTTTGGTATATGGAGCCAAAAGTACTGGTTGTTGACCTTGGAGTTAAATTAAGCAAAGTTTAAGAATGAGGCTTCATTGTTTGGTTTCTTTAAAGTGAAGAGCAGTTTTGACCAGACTTACAGAAGTTAAATTTCTTGAACTAAATGAATGAAATTGATCTTATTTTTACAGTTTCCTTCTACAATATTGAAATGAGCCTCTCTATCTTTGATGAAGAGCCAAGGATCTCTATTACCAGTGTTGTAAAAGAATTTGCAAAAAAATGGGTAAATAACCTATTGACTGTTTATGCTACATCTAAAAAAAGTGAATAGATATATGTATATAAATATGTAACATCTTGCAGAAAAGCTTGAACTTTTTAGCCAACCTGATATATATAAAACTAGGCTTCACTTTTTTCTAAGCATAATACATTACAGCCACGTTGGTTTTGATTTTTCTTTTTGCTGCAAATTTATCCACTCTGGAAGCAACATCATGAAGATGTATGTGGTCTCTCTTTTATAGTGTCAATGCTGGAAAGCTTTTTATGAGGTATTATTATTTTAATTGGTTTAGAACTGTACATGTCCCTCCACTGATATGAATTCTGCACCTTTGCCACATTTCCCTACTTGGGGAACCTAGGAGAGCTGTGATAACATAGTGTATGCCATTGTACTTAAATATTTTTGTTTTCTGTACTTTCATTTATTCTCTCTTTTATGCAAGAAATGTTTTATTTATCCTTACATTTTTCTGACAATAAGCAGTAATACCTACTCTCTGTAAAAAATTCTGACACTAAAGTCTGAAACCCAGAAAATAAATGTCCTCCCTAATATCACTTACTGTATTAACATCTCTTAACAGTTTGAAGCTTATTCTTTCAGATTTTTTCTATATATGATAACAGTGATTCATACATGTTCTTTTGCAAAAGTAGCTGGAATCATGCTAATTATGCTATTCTGCAACTTGTTTCTTTTCATTTAACCATGTGTCTTTACGCACATTCATGCTGGTAAACATAGACGTATCTCATACAGTTTAAAACGATCTCCCTAGGAGGTTGTAATGTGGTAGCCTTAATCCAGGCATCCTTTGGATGGACATTTAGTTTGTTTCTATTTTTTTTCTCTGTTTGGAAACAATGCTGATAATAATGCTCTTGCAATAAATTTGAAGGGGTTGTACTTGAGTATTTCTATAGGATAAATTCCTAGAACTGGAATTGCTAGGTCGAAGGTCATGAATATTTTACATTTTGATAGCTATCATTAAGTCACCTCCCAGATAGGTGGTACCAACTTGCACCCTCACCAACAGTAACTGATGATGTCTGTTTCCCCTCTCTCCCCATCAGCATTTATTTTCAAGTATATACGGCATGATTATAAGTGCTTGAAAATGGGTTGGTGTATTCATCCACCAGGCCTGCTATAACAAAACATGATGCACTAGGTGGTTTAAATGACAGACTTTTTTTCCTTTTTCTTTTTAATTGAGGTATAGTTGATTTATGATACTGTGCCAGTTTCACACATACAGCAAAATGATTAAACTATGTACATATTATTTTACAGACATAGTTCTGGAGGTTGCAAGTCTAAGATCAAGGTGCTGGCAAGGTGGGTTTCTGGTGAGGCCTCTGTCCTTGGCTTCTCACTGTGTCCTCACACATGGCCTTTTCTGTGTGTGCACACAGAGCCATCTCTAGTGTCTCTTCCTCTTCTCCATAAGGACACTAGTCCTATCAGACTAGGGCTCCACCCTATGACCTCATTTAGCCTAAAGTACCTTCTTAAAGGCTTCCCTGGTGGCTCAGATGGTAAAGAATTCACCTGCAATGCAGGAGACCCAGGTTCAATCCTTGGGTCAGGAAGATCCCCTGGAGAAGGGAATGGCAACCCACTCCAGTGTTGTTGCCTGCAGAATTCCATGGACAGAGGAGCCTGGTAGGCTACAGTCCATGGGGTCATAAAGAGTCAGACATGACTGAGCAACTAACACTCTGCACTTTCTCTGCCTTCTCACGTTCTTATCTCCAAATACAGTTACATTAGTGGGTTAGAGCTTCAACATGAATCTTGCAGGGACGCAGTTCATCCCATACCAATAGATAAAATGTAAATCAAAAAGCTGAGTGGAGCAGATGGAAATGTTAAACCAACTGAAATAATAAATGCAGCTTAATGATCACATCATCTCAGGTAACTTTGCTGGGTTAAGAAAGAGGAGCAGGAGTACTAAAACAAATAATTTTTTTTTTAACAAATGCGTTTTATCTTTTACAGTTGAATTCTATATTTCAGGACAGTGAATTTGTTCTTGCTAACCCGGCTGTTCAAATTAAAAACAGGTATGTGAATGTCATCTGCTGTGGGTCTGTTCCTATCTGGAAGGTATATCCTTGGTTTTTGTTTGAGACTGCTGCATTTTGAGTTGCATCTTCCCTTCTGACTGTAGGTTCTCTTCGGATTGATAAAGAGGTTTGTATTATTACTGTAAGGTATAAAGTCAATGAGAGAACAAAACAGAAAAAAATAAATAGGGGAAGTAGTGGAATTAGACTCAGTTACCCCTAAAACCCCTTTTAACTTTAAAATGCTATGATTCTGCGACTTAGGGGAAAACATCGTATCTTAAAGGGATGAAAGGTTAGGGATGGCCATTGTATGAGGATTGACAAGGCCTTTTATTTTTGGATAATGCACTTTCAAGAATGACTAATTCTAAGGGAACTTGCAATGTTTCAAGTGAGGAATGGTAGCTAGTTCCAGAATTGCCTGGGGCACAGATATGGAGAGGTGATTGCAGTGAAACTGGCAGGTGCTGAGTACTATCTAGAAGACCATAACAAAGTTAACTGGTCATCTGAGAAATATTTTCTTTGCTCTTGTCCTGCACATAGACTAGTCCTCTGTTAAAGGAAAATCCCAAAGAATCCCTTTGAAAAATAAGCGTGGTTCTAGTACACCATGGTTAGCTGATTTTTTAAAAAACACTGCCTGTCTTCCATACACTGGGATTTTTGTTTCTTTTGCATGTTCAAACATAAATGGGTTCAAGAAAGTTCACAGAAAGTAATGGAAGTAAATCCATGATAGATTATTAAAAGAAAATTGGAAATGTCTAAAGTATACACCATTCTTTCAAAGAACTATGTCTATGATTTTTCTTTATTACGGAGGTAATATGTGGTCAATGTAAAAACTTAGAGCTTTACAGAAATGTATGACATGGACAGCAAAAATCTCCAGAAAGCTGCCTTTCCCCACCTACTTTAAGAACTCTGGTTAATGGCTTATTTTATATATTTCTCTAGATTTGTTGTCATGGGTTTACTAAGAGAATGGGATCACATTCTACATACTGTTTTACAACTTTCTTTTCTTGCCTTAGAATACATCATGTATATCCTTTCCAGCTAGTACTTACAGATGTAGCTTATTTGTTTTAATTACTGCATAGAATTCTTTTGTATGCGTGTGCTGTGGTGTATTTATCCAATTACCTCGTGATGGACATTTGATTTTCTTCACCTTTGTATATATATTTGTATACACCCCTGCTGATACTATTATGGAACAGATTCCTAGAAGTAGGATCACTGAGTCAAAGGCTTACCACCATTTTGGTATGCAAATAATGACCCAGCTCTTTTAAAGTGTCTCCTTAGAAAAGGGAACCCTCTTACACTGTTGGTGGGAATGCAAACTAGTACAGCCACTATGGAGAACAGCGTGGAGATTCCTTAAAAAACTGGAAATAGAAGTGCCATATGACCCAGCAATTCCACTGCTGGGCATACACACCGAGGAAACCAGATCTGAAAGAGACACGTGCACGCAGCACTGTTTATAATAGCCAGGACATGGAAGCAACCTAGATGCCCATCAGCAGACGAATGGATAAGAAAGCTATGGTACATACACAATGGAATATTACTCAGCCATTAAAAAGAATACATGTGAATCAGTTCTAATGAGTTGGATGAAACTGGAGCCCATTATACAGAGTGAAGTAAGCCAGAAAGATAAACATCAATACAGTATACTAACACATATATATGGAATTTTTAAAAATGGTAACGATAACGCTATATGCAGGACAGAAAAAGAGACACAGATGTATAGAACAGACTTTTGGACTCTGTGGGAGAAGGTGAGGGTGGGATGATCTGAGAGAATAGCATTGAAACATGTATATTATCAAGTGTGAAAAAGATCACCAGCCCAGGTTGGATGCATGAGACAAGTGCTCAGGGCTGGTGCACTGGGAAGACCCAGAGGGATGGGATGGGGAGGGAGGTGGGAGGGGGGATCAGGATGGGGAACACATGTAAATCCATGGCTGATTCATGCCAATGTATGGCAAAAACCACTACAATATTGTAAAGTAATTAGCCTCAGACTAATAAAAATAAATGAAAAAAAATTGACATCATCAAAAAAATAATAATAAAATAAAGTGTCTCCTTAGAGCCCTAGTATTATCTAAATTTCAGGCAGGGGGATTCTACCATTGTACCTCACAGTTGTCTTTCTCCTGAACTTGTTCTCTCATGTATTTGGTACTGTGGTTTATTTTCCTATAATTTTATGGTGATTTTGGTACAGAGACATTACTGGGGAAGAAATAACCATGGACCAATTTGTAAGTATTTTTTCAAAACAAATCTACTTGTAACCCACCCTATACCTGATTATATATGGGTAAATAGCTCTTCCATTCAAGTGCATATTATCAGGCAAGGTTCAGCTGTAATAATTGAGGGGCAACTTACATTACTTTCTTTGGGATCTGCATAAGAATCCACTAAGAAAACCAATCTCTGCTTTTCTGAACTGTCTATGTGGTAATTTTTTGAGGCACATTTTGGGATCTATGGGAGTATGGAATGATTTGAGGATTGCAAATGATAAATGGAATTTCTTGTTTGTAGGCATCTGGCAAAGAAACCTTTTTTTTCCCCAAGAGTGACACAATTATTTGCAAAATAGGCATTCACGTAATAAATCCATTCTTGTGTAGAGTTCAAGTCAATGTGACAAAACTATTTCCCATTATTTGTTCCAGTGCCTTAAAGCTTTACAATGTTAGATTCTGAAAGAATTAGTATGCACCAAGGTTTTAAGTTATTTAAATCTGAGATAAATATTTTGACTACACAAAATATAATCAAGCCTACAGTGCATTCCAAATTATCTGCCATCACTTAAAATACTTTCTGTAAATACCTGAGTCAGAATGTAAAAATTGAAAACAGTATACATACTGTGACATAACTAAAATTCCTCTCAAATAATAGGTGTAAAAGACTTTTGGTGGTAATGCAGCCCCCAGAGTCAGGCTGCCTGAGTTAGAATCCCTGCTTTTCCACTTTCTGATTATGAGACCTTGGGCAACTTAATTAAACTCCCTGTACCTCAGTTTCCTCATCTGTAAAATGGAGATGATAATATGACCATTTCTCACAGGGATGTTGGAAAGATGGAATGGAATAACCCACATAGAGTGCTTAGTATAGGACGTAGAGCATGAAATCCTGGTAGTGTTTAATTTGTCATCACCATGTTTGGATCCAGAGCCTGAAGGCTTTGATTCTGCTGCCAGTTCTGTGACCCGTCAGCTGTGAGATACTGGGCACATCATTTAAGTTCTCTGAGACTAGAAAATGGGGTGACACATCTGTGCATTATCCACCCTACAGTGTTGGTGTCAGGACTAAACGCATCGATGTTTTGCAGATGATGTGTAGATGGCAATGGGTTACATAGATATAAAGTATAATTATGATTGTAGTTGTTAACAATAGGCCTGTAGTCAATTGTAACATTTGTTTAAAGGTTTCAGTGACTATGTACTTTTCTTTTGCGTTATTTGAAACAGAGAGAAGGGCAAGGACTGGCTACAATTTCCCACATACCATACAGGTAGGAGCTGAGTTTATTCAGAGCTGGTACATTTACTTTTAATTTTCTTTCATTTAATTCTGTATGTGTAGCCTGTTGGTCGGAGTTGTCAGAGGGAGATCAAAGTACCTGCTGGTTATTTTGCAGATGCTGTAATTGGACTCTTGCCTACAAGAAATAAGTTGCTTCAGTTGGTCACAGCACAGCCTAGCAGCCTGCCTGCTGCCTCTTTGTAGTGAAGAGAAAATGGGGTCCAAAGTGGTCATAATTCAGGGATAGGGCAATAAAGTGTTGTCATCAAAAAACTCCATGAAATACTGAGCAGGGAAATTGCAAAACAACCTGGAAAGCAGCCTCAGTCCTGTTCAGGCTCGTGGTCCAGGTCCTCCTGGAACTCTGGCTATTATTGTTGTTCTGCCTGATGCAACCCAAGAAGGACATATAGACCTAGGGGGGAGGGATGGGGGTCGGTGGAAGGGAGATTCAGGAGGGAAGGAGTGTATGTATACATACAGCTGATTAACCTTGTTGTACAGCAGAAACTTACACAACATTGTAAAGCAATTATATTCCAATAAAAAAAAGAAAGAAAAAAAAGGAAGTATAACTACAGAAGGCTCATGGGAAGGTTATTAAAATATTCAGGGTGTGAAGGGTAGAGGGTCGGCTCTACTCTTGCAACAAGAGGAGAGGTTTAAAAAGAAAAGTCCTCTTCAAACTGAGAAGGTGAAAGCTGTGAAGAGACTGGCTACCAGTGGAATGGGTAGTATGAACAAGGACTTCACTAAATATGGATCAGCAGTGGGGATGGGGCGGGCATGGCTTCGATTGGATATAGAGAGAAATTCTGAGTAAACACAGGCACATCTGACTTTTAAGAGCTGATAGGAAATATAAGAAAGTATTTGTCCAAAAGATGGATCTATAAACGGAAATGGAGAAAAAGCATAGGTAAACTTGTGAGTCTGCAATGTGCTTTGTAATGGAAGATAGAGATACTGAGAATGTCTGAGGACCTCGCTATAGAGCTTGAAGTTAAGGGCAGCCCTGTTCTTTCACACCATATCTTTAATGGACAGAACATTCCAGAATAAGATATTAGGTCTTTGTGGCCTTGGTTAAGGCTCAGTTTCTTTATCTGCAGAATGGGGGTAACAATAGCACTACCTCAAAAGGTTCTTGTGATAATATGAATTAAAACATGCAGAACAAGAGCTCTACAAATGTTGGCTACTATTATTATCATCATTATTATTTTATTATAGAAATAGGCCTTCTGCAGAACACAGTTTTCTAGACTAATTGAGCATGTGCCTATTTGCCTTATTATTGAGGTAATGATGGATAAATTAGAGACCATAAGAGTAAAAGGTTTTCTCTGAATGCTCCATCTTCTCTATTAATTATCACAAACCCCTAGAAATTGCATAGCTAGTCAATTTCAACATAATGCAAATGTTGCTGACTGTTCTTTTAAAAATGGGTTTTGAGTTGTTTGTTTTGGATATGAGAACATTTATCAGATGATTTCAATGTGCTGTACTCCATCATTTCTGAAGATTTGCCACTTAATAGCTGTAAAATGCTTGATATTTATGGACTACTAATTAAGTCATCTGCACAGAGTTTCAGCACCACAAGCCAAGTTGCACTCTGTGGCCATAACTGGAACATCTTTCTCTTTTGCTCTGCTTTTTAGCTGTCTTTGTCAGGTCATTATAAAGGCCAGCTCTTCCTTAGAGCCCACTAAATTGATTAGCAGGATCAAAAGTAAAATACACGGCAACCTCATACATGGAAACTTCACACAAGATCAATTGATATTATCAGTAAAGTCTGGACATGCTGCAGTGAGAAAACTAGGTAATTTGGGTGAGTGTTTTCATATGAATCAATTCCCTTTTTTATAAAGTTCCGAATGTATACATAGCAAGAAACCCTGCCTTCAGAGGGGGAGAGAAACTGTCTTCAAGTTCCTTTCCACATCCTTGGTATTCATCGTGCCCTGACAGCCTTTTTACCTGGAAGAGCTTGTAAAAAAAACCCAGAGTATCAGAGGAGTCACCAGAGACCATAGACCTGCTCTGGATATTAGCAGCAGCCAGTTCATCAGTGGAGTGGGAGCACATTTTCTCTTGCTTAAATCCTCAGAGAAGGAGAGGAAGGTGTCTTATGACCTTAGAGAGAAGGAGAGGAAGGTGTCTTATGACCTTAGAGAGGAGACTGGGACGGCTGGGCAAGGCTTTCTGACCTGCTTCTCTGGCCATCCTGATTTCTGGACTCAAACAAACCAAGTGGGTGGTCAGTAAAAACGGCAACTTTCTCACAAAAACTTAGCTCAGGACACATCTCCCTTTATGTGACAACACTTGGCAGCAAAACTTTGCTCTTAGCATCAACATCAGAACAGAGCACCCTGATCTATACTACTGATGAGGAATACATTGAATTTATTAAAACCAAGTCCAGCCCAAAGTCCATTAAGAAAGAGAAGTCAGCCTTTAGTGTCTGGTCACTGCACCCCAAACTATTAACAACTGCACTCAAAAGGAGGGCAGTCGGCAGGTGGGGACTTTCGATTTTTACTCTACACCTCTTTGTGTGGCTTGACTATTTTCAATGCGTATGTACCATTTTAATGAAACCAAAGCAGAAAAACTGTCCTGTCAAGTGGTAGTTTTAAAGCAAAGGACCAAATGTGAGATCAGACTGGGAGCCTTATTTTAAAAAAAGACTCAATTTAATGTTATTTTCAACCTGCTTTAAATTGCCTGGTAGAAAAGTTTCCCCTTTTATTTGCTGATGTTTATGTGCAGGGTAATAATGATGGGTGGTAATGGATGTTCATGAAACTTTTAAGTGCCTTTTGCCCTTTCAAATGTGCATTCATTTTCTCTGTAGAGCCCGGAAAGTGCAAAGCCGAAGAAACAGCCTCTAAATACAAAGGGACATATAAGTGGCTCTTAACCAACCCTACCGAGACAGCCCAAACTAGATGCATAAAAAATGAAGATGGAAGTGCTACTAGACTCTGGTATGCACCAGCTAAGTTCTAATTACTAGTTGGGTACACAAAGATCTGCTTAATTGGGAGCATGTTTCCAAGTCATTTGTCTGAGCACACCTCCTCCTTCCCCCTCTAGTGCCCATCTTCCTTTCTTTCACCTTTTGGATCTACTTAAGCATACACATGCCACATAATAACAATCCAGAAAAATTTTCAAGAAGACAAGAGGAAAAAAAAAATAACCCATGATCCTACCGCCTGAACACAGCTGCTTTTAGGTGGTCGTATTTTTTTCCATGTAGCCTTTTATGCGTGTAGTGGTATTCACCCTTCTTATAGGTATTCACCCTTCTTATAGCAGTAATGTCATTTAACCTTTCACTCAGTGGTTTATCAAACATTTTCCATGCTTTACATTTATTGTCTTAATGACCTTTTCAAAAACCTGCCTCAAAAGCTACCTCGTTGATGGGCCATAATAATTTACTAAATCACTCTACTATTCTTGACTTAAACATTTTCCTTTTTTCATCAGCCCCTCTTTTCTTGCGCTCTGCTACCGGTTTATGCCATTAACTTAAGTGGGCAGAGCGGAGGGACAGCAGGTTTTGACAAAACCGTAAAAGCTGTCTTTTGGAAGGTGACATCTTAGACTGAGTCCTACCTCTTCTTCCCTGCATCTAGTCACTTAGTGAGTCGTGCAGCTTTTATGGTCACAAACAGAGCTCACCTCTGCCCTTTCCTTTCTGACCCCGCTGCCACTCCCTGGGTGCCTACAATTAGAGCAGTCTCCTGGCCTTCTAACTGCCTGCTACCTCCCCACCCCCAGCTCTACTTCACACTGCTGCCAGCATCATTTTCCTGAAGTATGGCTGCCAACATGCCAATTCCCCACTCCAGTTCTATATTGCTTTAAGGATTAAGTCCAAAACCCTAAATAAAGTACTTAAGACCCTCAGGCCCCTTTCCTCCCCACTCCCCCCAAGAAGGACCATTGCCTTTCTGGACTTGCATTTTTTTTCTCTGCTTGTGTTATTTGCTCTCTTTGCGGGGAGGGGGCACTTTCTCCATCTCTGTTCTTTTAGAGCCCAGCTCAGCTCCAAAGTTACAAATAAGTTCTCCTTGCTTGGTGTTTCAATAGATTCAGTTTCATTTCTACAGTTTTTCCATTTCATGTTTTGCCTAATAAATGTAGTTACATTTACAATCTCAAAGCACCAAGTTGCAAGCTCCTCAAGGAGCTGTCTTGTTTGTCTGTAGTGCCTACTACCACTCCTAGAACACAGAAGACTCTCAATAAATAGGTTAGCTGATTTGCAATGAACTGGCTTGAATTGGATCGGGCATAGTGGAGGGTGGATGATGAGGGCCAATGAACCAAAGCGGGGGTTATACTAACTGTCTTGAGTGGTTGAATATGCTGAAATAGAGACCACAATTCTAACAGAAATTTTCTCTTAAAATGAAGGTAAGAGGCAAAAGTGAGGGTAGGAGTCATGTCCAGAGGGGCAAAATTCTCTGCCTTGACTTTTGGTCTAGTGGACGTGCCCCTGCCCCATTTTGGGCTCTCTTGCCTGCCTATGCTTCCTGCATGGGAACCCTAGATTCACTTGCTCCCCAAGAGCGAAGTTTTTTTCACTGTACAAACACTGGGTTCCTACCTTTGCCATCTCAGCTAGGAAGTTGGCAGTAGGCTAAGGGGAGGCATGCCAAAGACATACCATGTTCCTTCACCATTTGCTTTCAAACTATTCTGACCTCATCTTCCAACGATGAAGATTCTGTTCATTGCTCCTCTCTTTTTCAGCTCAATCAGTATCGACACTGGCAAATCTCACTGGGAAAAAACCAAAGTTTAAACAATGCAAATTGCTTCAAGCGCTTCCTAATAAGATTGTGGATCTTGCTAATATTACAATAAGTGACGGTAAGACTATTCTGCACACATTAGAGAAATAATGGATCCTCAGTTAGTTTGTCTACTTGACCTGAGATCAGAGAGTGTACAGGCAAATCTCCCATAGGAAAATCTACCTGACAACAATCCAATTTCAGAAATGAGATAGTTACTGGTGGTGAAAGTGGGAGTGAAGCGTGAGAAGTCAGAACTGTCAGTGATTTTTGTTTCATAATATTTTCTATTTTATAATGTTTGGTTAGTTATCATTTTGTTTTATTTTAATTTTTAAGAGTTTTAGTAGATAATATTTCATAAAGTTCAGTACTGAAAAAATAAAAAAAGGTATGCCATGAAACCTCTCCCTCCCACAGCTGACCCCAGCCATTTAGTTAGTATCCATGGAGATACCTATGCATCTATAAGGAAATGTGCATGTATATGTATATTCTTCCTCCCTTTTTTTTCTTCCTCCCTTTTTGTACACATAATGGAGAGTGATATACATGCTGTTCTGTACCTTGCTTCTTTCTCTTAATATTATATTGCGGAAATTATCATATTAATGTATGAAGAACTTCCTTATTTTTTTTTCACTGCGTTGTATTAACACAGATATGCCCCAATTGATTTCTTTAAACTGTTGCCTATGGATGTCCATACGGATGGACATTTAACTTGATAATTACACCTTGTTTTTTAAAAACTGCTGTAATGGACATTATGCATGTGTCATTTTGTGCAAGTATGGTATGCTCGAAGCATAAATTCCCAAAAGAAGAATTGCTGGGTCAATCATACTTTTTTTAAGATAAATTATTTTTATTTGCTATGCCAAAACTTTTTGAATTGATAACGCTGTACTTTACATTAGCATTTCTTTTTTCTTATTTGCTTTATTTCTTCTGGCATTTTTGAATACTTGAGTGGGTAGCCTATCCCTTCTTCAGTGGATCTTCCTAACCCAGGGAATGAACCGGGGTCTCCTGCATTACAGGCAGATTCTTTACCAACTGAGCTATCAGGGAAGCTTTAAAATTGAAGTATAGTTAATTTGGGCTTACCTGGTTGCTCAGTGGTTAAGAAGCTGCCTGCTATGCAGGAGCTGTGGGACACGTGGGTTCGATCCCTGGGTTGGGAAGATTCCCTGTAGGAGGGCAGGGCAATCCACTCTAGCATTCTTGCCTGGAGAATCCCACGGACAGAGGAGCCTGGCAGGCTACAGTCCATGGGGTCACAGAGTCGGACATGTCTGAAGCGACTTAGCATGCATGCATGCATAGTTAATTTACAATGTGTTAGTTTCAAATGTACAGCAAAGTGATTCAGTTATACATGTGCATATATATATATATATATAAATTTTCAGATTCTTTTCCATTGTACGTTATTACAAAATATTGAGTATAGTTTCTTGTGCTATACAGTGGGAACTTGTTGTTTATCTATTTTGTATATAGTAGTGTGTTAATCCCAAACTCCTAACTTATCCCTCCCTGCTTCCCCTTTGGTAACCATAAATTTGTTTTGTCTCTGAGTCAGTTTCTGCTTTGTAAATAAGTTCATTTCTCTCATATTTTAGATTCCACATATGAGTGATATCATATGATATTTGTCTTTGTCTGACCTACTTATCTTAGTGTGATAACTTGTAAGTCCACCCGTGCTGCTGCTAATGGCATTATTTCATTCTGTTTTATGGCTGAGTAATATTCCACATATATGTACCATATCTTCTTTATCCATTCATCTGTCAATGGATATTTATATTGCTTCCATGTGTTGGTTATTATAAATAGTGCTATGAACATTGGGGTGCATGGATCTTTTCAAATCAATCATACTTTTCATGATATCAAAATGCTCTCTGTAATAGTTGCACCAACTTCTACTCCCACTTACAAGGTTTGAAAGTGCCTGTTTCTGAACATCTTCAAATCAACACAGCATGTTATCAGATTTTTGGATGTTTGTGATTTGATAAGTTAATCTCAATGTAGTTAAAAATTTTATGGAGATATTGACATAAAATTCAGCCATGTAGTGTGTACAGTTCAGTGCTTTGTAGTGTATTCACTAGATTGTGCAACCATCACCACTAATTCTAGAACATTCTAATCACTCCTAAACGAAATGCCATACATGTTAGCAATCACTCTCCATTCCCTCTTTCCCCCAGCCCAATCTACTTTCTTTCTTCTTTTAATTTAATTTTATAGTTGTAAGAACACTTTACATGAGACCTACTTTCTTGACAATTTTAAAATGTACAATGCATTACTATTGACACCTGACACAATGTTTTTTTTTCTTGACACAATGTTTTATAGCAGATATCTAGAACTTATTCATCTTGCTTAACTGAAAGTTTATGCCTGTTGATCAGTAACTCCCCACTTTCCTCTCCTCTAACCCCTGGTAAGCACCATTTTACTCTGTGCTTCTGTGAGTTTGACTATTTTAGATTCCACATATAAGTGAGATCATGCATATTGATCTTTCTGAGTCTGGCTTATTTCACTTAGCATTATACCCTTCTGTTTCATCCATGTTGCTGCAGATGACAGGATTTCCTTCTTTTTTAAGGCTGAATAATATTCCATTTTGTACGTATGTATACATATATATGTATAATAAATTTTTATTTATTCAATTACCTCTTTACAGGCTCTTAGGTTATTCTCATATATTTGCTATTGTGAATAATGCTACAATGAACAAGGAAGTGCAGATATCTCTTTGAGATAATAAGTTTATATCCTTTGGATATATACTCACAAGTGGTATTGCTGGATCATATTGTAGTTCTATGTTTAACATTTTATTATTTTCCACAGTGGCTGCAGCAGTTTACATTTACATAAACAGTGTATACGGGTACCCTTTTCTCCACACCCTTGCCAACACTTGTTATCTATTTATTTCTAATAATTACCATCTCATTGTGGTTTTGATTTGCATTTCCTTGATGATTAGTGCTGTTGAGGACCTTTTCACATACCATTGGCCTTTTGTATGTCTTCTTTTGAGAAGTGTCTGCTCAAGTTCTTACCCTATTTTTAAACTGGGTTCTCTGGGATTTCTTCTATTGAGTGGTCAGAGTTATTTGTATATTTTGGAAATTAACCCCTTATCAAATATATGGTTTGCAAATATTCTCTCCCTTCTGTAGGTTGTCTTTTCACTCTGTTGATTATTTCCTTTGCTGTGAGAAGCTTTTAGTTTGATGTAGTCCGACTTGCTTACTTTTGGTTTTGTCATCTGTGCTTTTGGTGTCACATCAATGAAATCATTGCCCAGATCAATATCATGAAGCTTTTATCTTATGTTTTCTTCTAGGAGTTTTAAAGCTTTTAAGTCTTAAATCCACTTAGAGTTGATTTTTGTGTGTGGTATAAGATAAAGGTCCAATTTCATTCTGTTGTATGTGGATATCCAGTTTCCCATTTGTTTAAGAGACTCTCTTCGCCCATTGTATATTCTTGACATCCTTGTTGAACGTCACTGTGTATTCTTGGCATCCTTGTTGAACGTCAGATGATATATTTCTGGGCTTTCTATTCTATTTCATTGATTTATATGCCTGTCTTCATACAAACTTCATACTGTTTTGATTACTGTTGCTTTTTAATATATTTTTACATCAAGGAGTACAATGCCTTTGATCTACTTTCTCAAGGTCAATTTGGCTGTTCAGGGTTTTTTTGTGGTTCCGTATGAATTTTAGAATTGTTTACTCTATCTCTGTAAAAAATGCCATTGGTTAGACCAGTTTGGTGAAGTCTGTTTCCCCTGCAGTGGATGCAGCCTTGGAGATGTACACATTTTCCTTGAGCACTAGGAATGACTGTGGCTCTAGCTGAGTTCTCTCTATTTCTGATTTCCCCACTGAGCTTCTGGCTGGCCTGCCCCTGTTGGTATCACAGCCAGTTGTTAACATCCTAGTTGATAGTTGAGTGCTCTGTCATTTTTTTTACAAAACCCTAGGGTATAAATTGCTCCACAGTTTGATCCAATTAAAGTCTGTGCCCTTGTTAGGAGAAGAGTATTCCCAATCTTTGAGCCTTTCTTCTAGCCTCCTCTGGGCAAAATATCTGTCCTATGGGGCAAGAACTTGGGGGAATGGTGGTGGTGGTGAATATGCCCTTCACCAGGTACTTCACTAGGGTCTTCTCTATGCAACAGGAGTTGTGTGTGTGCACTTGGGCACAAGAGGGACTTACTGCTCACACTCAGCTGCTGCCACTGTCTACTATGGATCTTCAATAGCCCAGAGTTGGAAAGGTGGGAACTGCAAACGTTCACTTGCCATCAAATCCACTCAGAATACTTCTTCCATCTCAGGGACCTGGGGGAGATGGTAAGTGCCACTCAGCTGCCTAGCCCAGTGGAACTATTTGTTCACAAGGCAGATCTGTGGAGGATGCATGCAGTTCCTAGCTCAGATGCCATGGCCCGCCACTGCACTTGACAAATTTCTGTAGATTTTCTTCAATAAATGCTTGTCAGTCTGCTGTAAGATCTCCCATCAACCTCCAGAGACTTTGAATGATTATCTTAGTTAACTTTGACCAGCACCAGAGATCTCTCATGGTGAACGTTTCCCTAAGCCTCTCCTTACTACACTATCCTGAAAGTCCTGCCTCTGCTTGTCAGTGTTTTTTAAATTATACATAAAGTTTTCCACACAGAATTTTGGCTTATGCACATCCTGTCAGGCATTGCTCTACTGCATACAGTGGTTTCCTCCCATCATGAAGAGTTAGAAATTGAGATGTAGGCATTCCAGTACCCTGCAAAAGGGCCAGGGAAGAACCTTGAGGCAGTGAACTTCTGAGTCTTGTCTTTTTACAGAAGACTTAAATTCGAGATCCTAGGCAAGGAATACCTAGAGAATTAGAAAAGCAAGCACATCTCTGATGGTTTCTCGATCTGAAATCATGAGTCAGGGCAAGAGAGAGTGTTGCAGCTTGAAGTGAGTGGGTGACAAGATAGAAAGGTCTGTGTTTCCTGTTGGTCTCCCTCCTTCTGAGTAACACATTTTTCTTAGACATGCTAATAGAATTTTCTCTGTGGAAGAAAAAATTAACAAACAACCACCACAACAACAAAAGCGTGGCATTGGATTGGGATTTTTAGAAAATTAACTGTCAGAAGTCACTTTATTTAAAAAAAATCTGCAGAGAAACAGAAGAGTGAGAGGCTGACTATATGTATATAACTGAAAAATAAACTATCAAATTTATTAACTTTGGAAGAATCTTTCACCTTGCAAGGTAGAAGCTTAATGACAAATGAGTACAGTTAAGGAAAGAAAAATGCATTCACATTGAAACAATTTTTCTTTAGCTTTCAATCTTGCTGGCAAGTGTGAGATATCTTGACTGGAGAAAACTCATCACTTCCCCACTTAAATTCTCAATTCACAAAACTCCTTAATATCACAGTTAGAAAAGCCACCCTTATGTCAAAGTTCTGTAGATTCTTCACTGTGCTGAATTTTTGTTACCTCTATGATGTTGAGGCTGCTTCACTCTCTGAAGTTGGCTAGAACTTTTCACAAAATTGTCTCCTGTCTATGTTCATTCCACCATCAGGGTAGAAGAGTATGTGACTGACACAGAATGATGTAATTCTCAGGATGTCAGGGAGAAGGCCTGCAAAGTACAGCTGCTCCAACACCCAACACCATGGAGAAAAGGGACAAAGGCACAAATGCTGTAGTAGGAAATGATATTGAAGAACACTAGCTTTGGAATCAGGTAGGCCTGGATTAAAATCTGGGTTAGAATCTCTGTGTCTTAATTTCTTAATCTGTATAAAAGACAATATTAGTACCTACCACATAGGTTTAAGGTGATGGTGAGATGGAAAAAAATGTATGTATATGGCCCTGCTATGGTATCTTGTCTCCAAAGTAGCCACCATCGATTCATTCCCTCCTTGTCAACTGAGAGTAGAATCAGAGCTACCTTGTGACTGCTTAACCCAATAGAATTGGGCAGTAGTGACTACTGTGCCACTTATGGAACAAACTTTTAAGAAGACTGGAATCTTCTCCTTCCTTTCTATTGGTACATTCTTATCCTCTCAGAACCCAGACTCCAAAAGCCCAAACAGTGGTGTGCTGGAAAATGTTTAATGGCAAGCTCAATGGGAAAAAAGTAATAAATCTGTAGCATTTGCTGATTTCTTTGCTGTAATACTCCTCCCAAGGCTGAACACAAACTACAACATATAGCACTGAACATAAAGTTGGTAAGAGATGCATGAATACAGTAGATGTAAACAATCACAAGAGCATAGATTATTAAAATGCAGTAGAATAATTAGGAAGTAATGAGTTCTGATTATCACTATTATTTGTAATATGCTTTATTTAATTGTAAGTTTATGTAATTTAACTTTTAATAATGGCTCACAAAATTCCTGAAAATATAACAATTGGTTCTCAATAGTTGATACAAGCTGGCTCCAGTACACCATAAACCAGATCCAGTGTACCACTGAGCCTAAGCCAGCGGGAGAGGTCATGTGTAGGGAAGAGCCTCAGCTGACTCAAGGACAACAACCTCAACTGACCAGTCCATGGTAGCCTCAACTGCCAGGCATGTGAGGGAGCCATCCTGGACTTTCAGTCCAGTCTAACCTTCAGATGACTCCAGTCCCACCTGTCATCTGACTGCACCTACATGAGAGACTCCAAATGAGAAGTGCTCACCTGAGGTTTATCAACACAGAGAACAATGAGAGATAACAATTAACTGTTGTCTTAAGTCATTAAGTTTTGGGGTTGTTTGTTCTGCAGCAGTAGATAACTAGAACACTGGCTTATAGAAGTTGCTCAGTGAATAACTGATGTTCTTGTTTTCATTATTGTAATTACTGGCAGATTAATTTTAACTACTTCAAGCAATGGAGGTTATTTATTCTACAGCTAATAAGGGAGGACTGCTTTTATTGCTTTTGCTTGGGAACTTAGAATTTTTACACAATGCATGTAATTTGTCTTGAATTTTGCTTAAAAACCATACAACCGCCAATGAAAAATCTTCCACAATATGTAATAGTCTCCCATTGGCCTATTGTTTACTTTCATTTGGCCACAGCAGAGAGTGCATGAAGTGAAGTCCCATCACTGAAACGCAAAGAATAATGACCCAGGGAGGCAGCTCCCATTTACAACAAAGCCTGGACAATTTAATAAGAGCAGTAGAAACATCTGTGACTGAGCATGCTCTGTTTTCCTGCCATTGCTGGACAGATTGGGGTAATGGTTAAAGAGGGACAATTGAGAGGATCTCAGTTAAGATTATTTAATTTGTGTTGATAAGAACGGACTAAAGAGAGAGAGAGAGAGACAGAGATTAAAGCAAGAAATGAGAGGGGAATGAGAGAAAGAAAAAAATGGCCTTTGTAAGCTATGTTGGGGATAAAATTGTGGGGCGCTTAGGGTAGGAGAGAGGGGTTTGGAGAGATGCTGCCAACTGTGGAGGATGCAGAGAGAGAGAGAAACAGTGAGAGAAAGAGTTGGTCATTTGTAATGTAACTTGGGTTAAGTGTGTTATGAATGTAATCTCTCTCTGGAATTTTTCTCAACAGACCATATTTTTCTTTTTTAAAGAAATTTCTCAAAAATCATTTATTGTTGGCTTTCACATTATTTTTCAGTTATTTTCCATTATATTTTAGTTATTGGACTTGAATGTGAGTGGTTTAAGCTGGGAGGGCACCACAAGGGAGCCCAGCTTCATCTCTCTCTCTCTCTCTCTCTCTCTCTCTAGCTGCTAAGTCGTGTCTGACTCTTGCGACCCCGTGGACTATAGCCTGTCAGGTTCCTCTGTCCATGGGTTTCTCCAGACAAGAATACTGCTTCATATAGGTTATATCAAACTAAAGCCTAGTTTTGTATTTGTCTAATAAAGCTGTTTAACAGTGGGTGATGATCCCAACAAAAAGCTACTTTTAAAAAGCACTTACGAGACATGAGGACTTTTGAACACTGACTGGATATTTGATAATATTGAGTATTATTATAAACTTTTAAAAGATATGATCTTGGTATTGTGGTTCTGACAAAGTTTTTTATTTTATTATTTTTTATTTTTATCTGGAGGATAATTATAGTCCTTTGTTTTAGAGATGCATTCTGAAGTGTTCATGGATGAAATGATATGATGTCTGGGTGTTGCTTTAAAATAATCTGGGGTTGGGAGAAGGTAGGTGGAATTGTAGATAAAATAAGATTAGCTCTTCATTGACACTTGTTGAAGCTAGATGATTCATGAGGTACATTGAGATTCATTATACTATTCTTTCTACTTTTGTGCATATTTAAAAATTTCCATAATAAAAAGTGAAGAAAAAGTGGGTGAATTATTATCTATTGTTCTTACTCTCTAGAAAAACCTGAAGTGCTCTTTATTGTTATGTGGTCCATATTTGCTTTTGTTCTGCACGTTGCTGGTTCTTGACATAACAACATAATCACCATCCTTGATTATGAAAGCATACAGTGAGTGTGATATTTGAGTACAGATGGGATCTACTTAACTCAATCCAATACTCAAAAGTCTTAACTTAATTAGAATCTAATTGCAAGATAATCTTTAGTGACAAGAAAGGTTTCCCTAGGGGAGTATTTAAAAAAGGATTTAGTGAATAAAAATTTGACTTATGTGCTACTTTCTGGGACTCCATTAATTGTAGACATTGAAGTCCAGTGTTTCCTTCACAAATTTTGTTAACTTGGTATATGTTTCCATTTTACTGCCTTTACTTTTTAAAGGGGAAGAAGCAGACCAGCATGGCCCAAAACTAGGTAATGCAGCAGCTTTTATATTTCAATTTTCTTTCCCCAGAAAATGTAAATGATGTTGCAGAGCACATTTAAAATTTAATCAATGAATCCCCTCTTCTGGATGAAGAAGAAACAAAGATTATTGTTTCGAAAGTATCTGATATTTCACAATGTGATGCGATAAGTATGAACCTAACCCAGACTATATTACAAATAATCAGTGCTGCTTTGGGAAAACAAAACAATTCAGCATGTGATCTGCATGAAGTAAGCAACGAGTAAGTACTAGTACTTTGGTAAAATAAGTTATTTCAAAATATTTAAAATATATATTGTTAATCCCTTTGCATACAGGCATTAATAGTTCTAAAGGTCAGGTGGCTATGGGTTGAATGCTTCGTTAGTACAACATGATGGGGTCATCCTCTTGGAATCCCAATTGTGAAAGAATGCATTCAAATTCTAACTGAACCTTAATGACAGCAACTTTCCAAATAAATAGTTATCCCAAGTCAAATGTTCAATTTCCTGGTGTTCCCCAATGTTCCCCATTTCTACATAATGCATCCACCCAATGCTCAAGCAAAAAACTTGAGGACACTAATTACTTCCCTGTGTTGTGTCCCACTCTTTGTGACCCCATGGGCTACAGCACACCAGGCTTCCCTGTCCTTCACTATCTCCCAGAGTTTGCTCAAATTCATGTCCATTGAGTCAGTGACGCCATCTAACCATCTCATTCTCTGTCACCCCTTCTCCTCCTGCCCTCAATCTTTCCCAGCATTAGGGTCTTTTCCAGTGAGTTGGCTGTTCACATCAGGTGGCCAAAGTATTGGAGCTTCAGCTTCAGCATCAGTCCTTCCAATGAATATTCAGGGTTGATTTCCTTTAGGATGGAATGGTTGGATCGCCTTGCTGTCCAAGGGACTCTCAAGAGTGTTCTCCTGCACCACAGCTTGAAAGCATCAATTCTTCAGTGCTCAGCCTTCTTTATGGTTCAACTCTCACATCCCAGGCTTCCCAGGTGGCACTACTGGTAAAGAATCAACCTGCCAATGCAGGACACATAAGAGACACAGGTTTGATCCCTGGGTTGGGAAGATCCCCTGGAGGAGCACATGGCAACCCACCCCAGTATTCTTGCCTGGAGAATCCCCATGGACAAAGAAGCCTGGTGGGCTACAGCCCATAGGGTCGAAAAGAGACATGACAAAAGTGACATAGCACCATCTCACATCCATACATGACTACTGGAAAAACCATAGCTTTGACTATATGGACTTTCGTCGGCAAAGTGATGTCTCTGCTGTCAAGGTTTGTCATAGCTTTTCTTCCAAGGAGCAAGCGTCTTTTAATTTCATGGCTGCAGTCACCATCTGCAGTTGTTTTGGAGCCCAAGAAAATAAAGTCTGTCACTGTTTCCATTTTCCCCCCATCTATTTGCCATGAAGAGATAGGACCAAATGCCATGATCTTCATTTCTTGAATGTTGAGTTTTAAACCAGCTTTTTCACTCTCTTCTTTCACCTTAATCAAGAGGCTCTTCAGTTCCTCTTGGCTTTCTGCCATAAGGGTGCTATCATCTGCAAATCTGAGGTTATTGATATTTCTCCCAGCAATCTTGAGTCCAGCTTGTGTTTCATCCCGCCCGGCATTTTCCACAATGTATTCTACATATAGATAGGTAAGCAGGGTAACAATATACAGCCTTGATGTACTCCTTTCCCAATTTGAAACCACTCCCATGTTCCATATCTGGTTCTAACTGTTGCTTCTTGACCCACATACAGGTTTCTCAGGAGGCAGGTAAGGTGGTCTGGTATTCCTATCTCTTTAAGAATTTTCCACAGTTTGTGATTCACACAGTCAAAGGCTTTAGTGTAGTCAATGAAGCAGAAGTAGATGTTTTTCTGGAATTCCCTTGCTTTTTCTAAGATCCAATGGATGTTGGCAATTTAATCTCTGGTTCCTCTACCTTTACTAAATCCAGCTTGTAAATCTAAAAGTTCTTGGTTCTTATACTGTTGAAGCCTAGCCTCAAGGATTCTGAGCATTACCATGCTAGCATGTGAAATGAGCACAATTGTGTGGTAGTTTGAATGTTCTTTGGCATTGCCCTTCTTTGAGATTGGAATGAAAGCTGAACTTATCCAGTCCCATGGCCACTTCTGAGGTTTCCACATTTGCTGGCATATTATTCCTGGAAACCATCTACTTCTCTCCATTGTCACCACTACCACTCTAGGCCTAGCTCCTTTTCTCTCAGCTGACCTTCTACAATAACCTCTTAACTGATCTCCCAGCCTCTGCTCTTGCCTCTCTGTGGTCTATCTTCTACAGAATGATCTTTTAATGCATATATCAGATCATGTTATTGTCTTGCTTTTAAAAACACTCAGTAGACTTCTGTTACATATAGACTAAAATCCAAATTTCTTGGCTTATGAGACCATGCAGCATCTGGCTTTACATATATCAATTTCATCTAATCTTTAATACATTCTTTTGAGATGAGTGCTCATATTATTAACTTTGCAAATGAGGAGGCTGAAGCTTGATGAGGTCATTTGATTTGCCCACACAGTTAGAAATTAGAGCAACTAAGCTTTAAATTTCAGCTGCTTTGACTCCAAAGCCTATGCTCTTATCTAGTAATTTCTAAGCAATATAAAGATAGTGATTAAATCTCAAAGAAAATTTTATGTAGAGGATATTTTGTAAGGAGGATGGGTTTTACATTCAAAAGCTAAGAATACTCTTCTCTACCTGTTATTCCTTGCAGAATTATGAGGATAATTGAGTGTGCTGATCACAAGATGGAGTTTCCTGTGAGGACAGCAAATCTGACGGTGGCCAGGCTGGCTTTGGCTGTCCTATGGGTGGACCACACATCTGAAGGCATGGCCTTCAGCATTCTCTCCTATGAAGAAGGCACAGAGCCTGAAGTGAGTGGAGCTCAGGGTAGTGAGAGCAAGTCAGCCAAACACTGCTCCTAATCTTCATTCATCTACTCCTTGGAAGGAGATGGGGTACTTTTTTAACCTTCATGTAGCCTTATGAAAATACAAATATCCCAGGGAAGATTCATGCATAACCCTTAGTAAGCCAACAGCTTGGTTGGAACGGTGTCCATGAGGTATGCAATAATACTGCTTTTGGCCCTGTGACCCCAAATCATCTCAAAGGTCAGTTTATCAATAACTACCATTTATGGTGGCTCAGTGGATACAGAATCCTCCTGCAATGGAGGAAACCTGGGATCAATCCCTGGATCTAGAAGATCCCCTGAAGAAGGAAATAGCAACCCACTCCAGTATTCTTGCCTGAGAAAGCCAGTAGACAGAGAAGCCTGGCGGTTGTAGTCCATGGGGTCACAAAGAGTCGGACATGACTGAGCAACTAACACAAACCATTTATGGAGCACTTACTATATGCTGGGCATTGTGCTACTATTTCATCTGTACACATAAGGAAACAGAGAAATTAAGTAATTTTCCCAAAGACACACAACCTAATGACTGAGCTAGAAGTCAAATTTATGTCTGGCTGGTTTTAAAGTCTGAACCCTTTTCTCTACTCCACACTACCTCATTTGTCCACCAACCCTGGCTCAGAACAATTTGGGAGAGCAGTCTTTTTAAATTTATAGTTTAAAAAATTATTAAGTTTGCATATGGGGAAAGCATAAATTTGAAGTATACTTTCTCTGATTTTCGACAAATGTGTATATCTGTGTAACTCAAACCCCTGTCAAGATATAAAACACCATTATCCCTCCTGAAAGTCCTCCTGTGGCTGTTCCCATTAATCCCTTTGACTGCTACCTCTGTTGCCTATCACTGTTCTGATTTTTTTTAAACCATAGTTTTGCCTGTTCTAGAACTTTATATAAATGAATTATATGATATGTACTGTCTTGTATAAGGCTTCTTCTATGTACTACAGTAGGATTTTTTTGAGATTCATTCTTCTGTTTCTATAGTTTATTCATTTTATTGCTGACTAATATTCCATTGTATGGATATATCACAGAATGGATTGTTTCTAGTTTGGGGCTATTGTGTTTAGTGCTGCATTGAAGATTTAGGTAAAAGTCCTTGTATGGATATATATTTCCATTTATCTTGAGTAAGGAGATCGGTCCTGGGTGTTCATTGGAAGGACTGATGTTGAAGCTGAAACTCCAATACTTTGGCCACCTGATGCGAAGAGCTGACCCATTTGAAAAGACCCTGATGCTGGGAAAGATTGAAGGCAGGAGAAGAAGGGATGACAGAGGATGAGATGGTTGGATGGCATCACCAACTCAATGGACATGTGTTTGGGTAAACTCCGGGAGTTGATGATGGACAGGGAGGCCTGAAGTGCTGAGGTTCATGGGGTCACAAAGAGTCGGACATGACTGAGCAACTGAACTGAACTGAACTGAGTAAATACCTATGAATGAAATTGCTGGTTCATAAGTTATATGTTTAAATGTGTAAGAACCAACCATACTCCTTTTTAAAGTGGTTAAGGATATGGAGCGATTTTTCATTTTTGTATTGGCCTTTTCTATATCTTTGGTAAAATATCTGTTAAAATTTTTGCCCATTTTTCAGTTGGATTGTTTGTCTTCTTCTTATTTAGTTGAAAGTATTTTTTTTTTACAACTTCTGGATATAAGTCAGATACATGTTTTGAAAATATTTTCTCTGTGGTCTATCTATTAGATAAGTGGTGTCTTTTGATGAGCTTAAGTTGTAATTTTGGTGAGGTATAATTCATCAGTTTTTTTTCTTTCATGAATAACAATATATGACTTGATTAAGAAATCTTTGCCTATCAACAGATCATGAAGATACTCTCTCCTTTAAAAGATCTATGGTTTCAATTTTTACATTTAGGATGATAATCCTAATTAATTGAACTTAATTTTTTGTATGGTATGAGGTGTGGTATGGTATGTGGTTTGGAGTTAATTTTGTTCCATTTAGAAATCCAGTTATTACAGCATCATTTATTGAAGATTTTCCTTTCTCCATAAATGGCTTTGGCACCTTTGACAAAATATCAAATACTCATGTAAGTGTAGGTCTATTAAAATAAAATTCTATTTTGACCCCACTGCATGGCTTGTGGGATCTTAGTTCCCCAACATGGGCCCCTGGTTGTGAGAGCACAGAGCCCTAACCACTGGACTTCCATGGAATTCTTTGTGTAGGTTTATTTTTGAGCTTTCTGTTCAGTTCTATTGATTTTTTGTCAAAAAAAAAATATATACATATATATATCACACTATCTTTATTCCTGTAGTCTTGAATCAGGTAGTGGGAATCCTTCAACTTTGTTTTTCTTCAAGATTGCTGTGGTTTTTCCAGGTCTTTTGTATGTCCATGTGAATTTTCAAATGTGCTTGTCAATTTGCAGAAAAAAACCTTGCCAAGATTATAATCGGGATTGCACAATTTTGGGAGAATTGATTACTTAGTAATATCGAATCTTGTAATATTTATCCAGGAACATTTATTCAGGTCTATTTTAATTTCTCTCAGCAATGTTTTTTTCCTTTTATTTATTTATTTTTCTTTTTTTTAAATTAACTTTTTATTTTAATTGGAGGCTAACTACTTTACAATATTGCGGTGGTTTTGGCCATACATCGACATGAATCAACCACAAGTGCTAAATGTAGAGGTATTGCCTGTCTTTTGTTAAATTCATCTTAAATATTTTTTCTGATACTGTTGCAAATGGAATTAAATTTTTTTATTGAAGTATAGTTTAATTCAGTTCAGTTCAGTTCAGTTCAGTTGCTCAGTCATGTCTGACTCTTTGCGACACCAGGCCTCCCTGTCCATCACCAACTCCTGGAGTTTACCCAAACTCATGTCCATTGAGTCGGTGATGTCATCCAACCACCTCATCCTCTGTCGTCCCCTTCTCCTGCCTTCAATCTTTCCCAGCATCAGAGTCTTTTCAAATGAGTCAGCTCTTCGCATCAGGTGGCCAAAGTATTGGAGTTTCAGCTTCAACATCAGTCCTTCCAATGAACACTCATGATTGATCTTCTTTAGGATGGACTGGTTGGATCTCCTTGCAGTCCAAGTGATTCTCAAGAGTCTTCTCCAGCACCACAGTTCGAAAGCATCAGTTCTTCGGCACTCAGCTTTCTTTATAGTCCAACTCTCACATCCAATTACAATGTATTAAATACTGCTATACAGCAAAATAATTCAATTATATCTCTCTATATATATGTACATTATTTTTCATGTTCTTTTCCATTATGGTTATCACAGGATATTTAATACAATTATCTGTGCTACACAGTAGGACCTTATTGTTTATCCATTCTGTATATACCAATGTACATCAAATCAAACCCTCACCCAACCCCATCCCCCTTGACAACAACCAGTCTACTCTCTAAGTCCATGATTCTTTGTTTGATAGATGGGTTCGTTTGTGTCATATTTTAGATTCCACATATAAGTGATATCATATGATATTTGTCTTTCTTTTTCGACTTAGTACAAGTGAAATTATTTTTAAATTTAATTTAAAATTAAATTGTACAATTATCTGCTGTACTTAAAAATAAAATTGATAAGCTATATCTATCACTAATCTCTCACTATCTATCCATCCATCTATCATATATCTAAATTTTGTATCCTATGAACTTGCTAAACTCACTTATTAGCTGTAGTAGTTGTTTTAGAGATTATTTGGGCCTTTCTATGCAATGCCATCTGAAAATAGTGACATTAGTCATCTTTCTCATTAATTTTTATTCCTTTTATTCCTTCTTTTGGACTTATTTTGATATTAGTACTTGCAATAAAATGTTGACTAAGCGGTGAAAGTGAACATCTTGTCTTGATATCAGGAGAAAAGTATTCACTATTTTACTATTACTATGATATTAGCCATGTTTTTGTTTTGTTTTTTAAATACCCTTTATTTGATTAAGGAAGTTTTCTTCTGTTCTTAGTTTGCTGAAAATTTTTACTGTGAGTGGTTGTTGAATTTTGTTAAATGCTTTTTCTGTATCTCTTGAAAACATCATTTGGCTTTTGTCCATTATCTAATATGGTAAATTACACTAATTTTAGGATGTTAAACCAATCTTTGCGTTTTTGGAAGAAACCCTAGTGGTTATGATGTTTTATCATTTTTATATAGTGGTATTTTCAACTTGATAATATTTTGTTAAGTATTTTAGCACTTATGTTCATGAAAGATGTAGGTTTGAAATTATTTATTTGTTTATGGCTGGACTGGGTCTTACTTAGGGGCTACACCGACTTTTCTCTAGTTGCGGTGTGCAGGCTTCTCATTGTGGTGGCTTCTCATTGCAGAGCACGGGCTCTGCAGCACAGGCTCAGTATTGTGGCGCACTGGTTTAGTTGCTCCAAGGCATGTGCAACCTTCCCAGATCAGGGATCGAACTGGCATCTTTTGCATTGGCAGGCAGATTCTTTATCACTGAGCCACTGGAGAAGCTCCTGAAAGTTTTTCTTTCCCTCTAGTTTATTTATCAGACTTTGGGTTGGTGTTTTGCCAACTTTATAAAACTCTTTCAGAAAGAGTTTGTGTGACATTGGTGTTATTTCTTCATTAAATGCTTGATAGGGCTCACTAGGAAACTCTGTGTCTGAAATTTCTTTATGGGAAGTATTGTGATACCAAATCCAACTTGTTTAATGGATGTAGAGCCCTTCTGATGTTCTGATTCATCTCATGTCTATTTTGGTTAGTTATATTTTTCTAAGAATTTATTTCAGTTAGCTTTTCAAGTTTATTGGCAAAAGTTGTGCATAACATTCCTATTATTTCTTAACATCTATAACATTTATGAGTGGTCAGCAAAACTTTTCTGTAGAAGGAAGATAGTAAATACTTTAGGTTTCATAAGCTATAAATGGTCTCCCTCTGCTGCACATTTTTTCTTTGCTTTGCT